ATTTAAATTAATATAAGTTTATTACTAGATGAATGTTTAGCTACCTATAAGCTTCCTTTTCCTGTCATTATCAGAACTAGACATGATATATAAGCTTTTTGTTTAAAACATTGTTGATTCTCTGAAGAGATCACAGGAGATATTCTGATAACAAAAGTCTCCAAATCCTTAGACTCAAGTGGTTATGTTTTGTATAAAAAGATTCTCAGCACCTTATAGATAAGTTAATTTTGCAACCTTGCCCTTCGTATTTTTGTTTTTGCTCTTATGTTACCTAAGGGGTTTTAAAGGATTGATAGCGACCAAGGTTCCTATTTCATAGGACATGCCATTCAGCGATGGGCAGCAAAACAAAACACAGATTGGAGATTTCACCTGCATATAATCCAACAGGGGCAGGTCTAAAAAAAAAATGCTATGTTCCCTATAGCTGGTAAATTGTAGAGAATTGTGAGTTGGGAACATTTGTCTAGGATTAAACTTGCTTCTCATGAGTCCCCACAGGCTGGCACAGAGGAGTCAGCATGCTCCTGCCAACCCACAGAGGACCTCAGGTTCCTCAGAACCTCAGGTTCAAGAGGCGCCTCCTGAAGACAGCAAGTAAGCTAACTAACACCCTCATTCAAGTGGCTAATATGAAAATGTTTCCTCTTCTTTTTTTTCTTTGAGACAGAGTCTCACTCTGTTGCCCAGGCCAGAGAGCCGTGGCATCAGCCTAGCTCACAGCAACCTCAAACTCCTGGGCTCAAGCAATCCTCCTGCCTCAGCCTCCCGAGTAGCTGGGACCACAGGTGCGTGCCACCATGCCTGGCTAGTTTTTCTATTCTTAGTAGAGACGGGGTGTCGCTCTTGGTCAGGCTGGTGTCAAACTCCTGACCTCAAATGATCCTCCCGCCTCGGCCTCCCAGAGTGCTAGGATTACAGGCATGAACCAGCGTGCCCGGCCTCCTTTAATAGTTTTTATTTTAAATAATTTGAGGTCATGGCCTCAATGTATTCTTGAGTAGAAAATATGGGACTTTGTTGCTGAAAATCCCTTCTAACTGAATCTGCCTCTTAGCGTTCTCAACTTTTCATTCACAGACTACTTTGCTTAAAAAGATGATTAATTTGGGGTCCTCAGGGAGAAGGGAGTCTCCCTTGATCTTTGCTCCCCAAATTCCCCCCAAAACCCTCATAATAACTCTGATGCAGGTCCTATTATGACACTTGTTTTTCAGATGAGGAAACAGAGGCTTTGAGGGGCAAGGAGACCTCTCAGGATGACCCAGCGGATAGGAGGGGACCTGGATGGGGTCTGTGTCCACGGCTGTGAAGCGCGGCCTGTGCCCTTCATGCTTCAGGGACAGGGTGGGGGAAGTGAGGATGCTCCTTGTCTATGGGGCAAGCACAGTGTCATTTGGGGCAGTCCCTGGGGGCAAAGAGGCCATCCCCCTAGATCTGGACGTGAAACTGCTTATGGCCTGAGATGAACTCTACTTCAAACTTAGTTTTTGTTTTTGTCTTTTTTTTTAGACAGAGTCTCACTGTGTTGCCCGGGTTAGAGTGCCATGGCATCAGCCTAGCTCACAGCAACCTCAAACTCCTGGGCTCAAGCCATCCTCCTCCCGAGTAGCTGGGACCACAGGTGCGTGCCACCATGCCTGGCTAGTTTTTCTATTCTTAGTAGAGACGGGGTGTCGCTCTTGGTCAGGCTGGTCTTGAACTCCTGAGCTCAAACAATCCTCCTATCTCAGCCTCCCGGAGTGCTAGGATCAAAATTAGTTTTAGTTGTAATTATGCCAGTAATACCTGAACACATCGTTGTGAAAAAATCCTCAAATAACACCGAGGTCTACAAGTAAGAACAGGCATTTCCTCGTCCACCCCCAAGGGAGCCTGTTTTCACTCTGGAGACTTTCGTTCCAGACTCGCCTTGTGCCTCTCTGTTCTTGCGTATGTACATACAGAAAGAGGTTTTTTGGTGTTTCATAAATGGGGTCAGATGGTGTGAAATGCCCTGTGGGCTCGGCCTAGGGTGCTTCTGGTCAGCTTTGTTGGTTCCACCTTGTTTTGTGACATGGCCAGATCCCTAATTGTAGAGATTGTCTTTGCCCTTCTTATGTACTTAGCTCTGACAAACCAGGACACTGCCAGAAAGCGCTCCTCGCCATGGACAGGAGGAAGGACACAGTGTCAGGCCTCTGGACACTAGGAAAGGGCGGCAGTGGCTGGGGAGTCACTGCAAAGCCCGGCGAGGCCAGAGCCAGAGGCCTGGGAGCCTCCCGCCCTTTTCCCATGGAACCCAGGCTAGGCAAGGGCAGGTCGTGCCCTCCCAAGAAGCAGTCACACATCCTTGCCTGAGCCTCCCACCAAGGCTCCATTCGCAGCCTCCTTACACACCCACATGCACACGCACACACGCACGCACACACACGCACAAGCTCACGTACTCCACAGGGGTCCTGGGCCCGGGACAGGCCCAGCCATTCTCTCAACATAGCCCTGTGATGGGGGACACAGGACCTCAAGTGAGGTTACAAAGGAGACTGCAGTCCTTCAGCCACAGGGAGGAGAGCCCCCACTTCCTAGGGCCAGCAGGTGCATGGAGGGAGGCTGCAAGGCCAGGGTGGGGAGGAGGGAGAGGAGCAGGGAGCCCCCCGGGCCTCACTCAGGGCACCACATGGGAGGGATGAGAAGCCTGCTGGCTCTGGGCCTCCTGCAGGCTTTGGGTCCTGTGCGAATGAATGCACCGGCCAACCCCATGTGCAAACACCTCTGGTCAGACATCAAATACTGAGCACCTACTATATACCAAGCAGTGTTTTAGGTTCTGCCAAAACAGCAGGGAACCAGAGACTAATAGGAAACAATATAATAGGTGAAGAGATAAGAAGTGCTGGGAAGAAAAATCCAGAAAAGGATGCCAAGGAGTTAGGGGGTATGACTTTAAACAGGGGAGTCATAGAAGGCCTGGTGAGATGCAGGCCTTGAACAGAGAGGGGACAGAGGCGAGGGCAATCCCCAAGGATGTCTGGAAGGAGCAGACAAGGCCCAGGGAACAGCAGTGACCAGGAAGGTGGGGTGCAATGCCTGGCCCTGCACTCCTTGCCTCAACCTTGTGGGGGAGTGGATGTGTGCTTAACTTTACACAGGAGGAAAGCAAACAGGAGGAAAGAGACAAGCCAGGTCGTCCCTCAGCCCCAAACTCTCCTCTGGGGTCCTGTGTCTGCAGTGGGTGGCAGGTGGGGTGGTGGTGGTCAGGTCTAGCCCTCAAGGAGTCTGTGCTCCCTCAAAGGAGGCTGGGCTATGGCCATGCTAACTATAGGAGGACCAAGTGCTCGGGGACCTCCGGGGCCTGGCCTTGCAGGGCAGCTTTTCTTTTTTAAATTTTTTTCAGAGACAGGGTCTGGCTCTGTCACCCAGGCTGGAGTGCAGTGGTATCATCATAGCTCACTGCAGCCTCGAACTCCTGGGCTCAAGTGATCCTCCTACCTCAGCCTCCCTAGTAACTGGGACTACAGGCACCACCACGCCCGGCCTTGTAGGGCAGTTGTGTAGTCAAACCAGGCAGTACCAAACATTAGCTCCCGGGGGTCTCCCAAATGCCTTCTGCATCCCCCCTGATGTGAGAGGGGGGCCTCCTGTGTGCTCAAGGGCACTGGGGACTGCCCGCCCCTCTGGAGCTGGTCCTCAGTGTCATACTCAGATGGGACTCACAGATTTTGAGTGTGCAGGGCCTGGCCACACCCCCCACTTGACTCCCTTGATCCACAGGGTCTGTGAGAAGTCCTTTTACAACCACTCTCTGCCTGTATCCTTCTGGCCCCAGGGGAGAGTGCAGAGAAGGGGCTAAGCCACAGGTTCCTTCTGGAAAAAGGCCCTTTGTGCCAGAGCCCTGCCAGCAGGCCTGGCCCAGCACCCATGGGTGTGTGTGGGCCACGGGGCAGGCCGTGGCAGGGCTCTGTGTTCAAGAACCCTCCAGGCTCATCTGGCCCACCCCAGCTCTGAGCACAACCAGCAGCCCTCTCTGAGCCTCACAAGGGCAAGGGTGGAACAGGCAGTGGGGCACACAGAGGGAAGTGGGCTGCTCCTCGTCACAATGCAAGCTGGCCACAGACCCCAAGTTGGTGGGACTCAAAGGCTGGGTCCTTTCCCACTGCACTACCACTTCCCCTCTGTGGCCAGGCTGTTGTCTCTGCTCACTAGGGGGTGTAGGAGACATGGGGGCCATGTTGCAGAGCCCCCTCCTTGCTAGGAAGGCCCTACCTCCTTGGCAGCGATGGGAAATACCACCCGACTGGGGCAAACACCTGGGCCCAGACCACCTTCTACAGAGAATGTGAGCTCCCTGGGTGGGCCCAGGGGCTGCCCACACCCAGGTGCCTAGGCGGGCACAAATGAACCTGTGAACCTGAGCAAGCCCTTCCCCTGAGAGCCTGACACCCCATACAAACAGCGGGGACCCAGACACCACCTTCCTGCAGGCTCATGAGCACAGGGACCCAGTGGCTTCCAGGCCCAGCTGAAGGGTCACGCCCCCCACTCAGACCTTCAGGAACAGCCCCCAATGTGACCACCTTATGACCATGACCACTCTGAGAGGTTTTACTTCTGCTTAAAGCTTTATATTTACCTGGGTTAGACCTCATGGTATACTTTAAAGAAAAAAATGAAATAATTAAAAAGAAAAAAAAGCTTTATGTTTAAAATAATGGCTTCTTGGCCAGGCGTGGTGGCTCACGCCTGTAATCTTAGCACTCTGGGAGGCAGAGGCAGGCGGATTGCTTGAGGTCAAGAGTTCAAAACCAGCCTGAGCAAGAGCGAGACCCCGTCTCTACTATAAATGGAAAGAAATTAATTGCCCAACTAATATATATAGAAAAAATTAGCCGGGCATGGTGGTGCTGCCTGTAGTCCCAGCTACTGGGAGGCTGAGGCAGGAAGATTGCTTGAGCCCAAGAGTTTGAGGTTGCTGAGAGCTAGGCTGACGCCACAGCACTCACTCTAGCCTGGGCAACAAAGTGAGACTCTGTCTCAAAAAAAAAAAATATGTAAAATAATGGCTTCATCACTGTCAGCTGGGGAGAAAGGCATTAGCTGGCCTGACCCCATTCTATAGACAAGGGTCTGTGCGGCTCCTCGAGGGCAAGTGACCTGCCAAAGGTCATGTCTTCAGTAAGCAGCTAAGCCTGGCCTCTCCCGTCTCCCTGCGCCCGCCACCGTGCCAGGCACCAACTCCAGGCACTCATCAGGCATAGACTGGCCTTCCATCACTGCCCTCAGTCACATCCTCCCGGACACTGTCACTGGCCTCCAGATGGTGTGCAGCAACACACTGCCTGCCACCCACCCCTAGCCTTCCAGGGACAGCAAGTCTGAGAGGGCACCTGACTGCCACTGAAGTGTGGCTCAGCTCTGCTGAGCTCTGTGATCAGGGGCAGGCCAGCCCCCAACCCCAGAGGGCGGCCTCTTGGTTCTAGGGCCCCTGCCAAGCTCGGCTGGGAGCTGGCAGCAGTGACGGCATCATGTTCCCCCAGCGCTTGGAAGGCTCCCAGATCCTTGGCTGGAGAATGTGATGCCGCTTCTCTTGTTAAATGGTACCAGGTGGCAAAGAAAATGTGGCACAGGGACCTGGGAGAGAGAGGTGTGCCCCATGCTGGCTGGGGAGTGAGGGGTGAGGGGAAGGCCTCCCTTTGTCTCCAGGAAAGTGACAGGCCCAGAGGAGGTGGCAGGCTGTATCCACACTGCCCCCCTCCCCTGCACAGACACCACACTCCAGCCTCCCAAAGACCTACCCTACCGCCCACCCGCCTGTAAGGCCCCACCCTTTGTGGCCCAGGATACTGAGGGGAACGGAGATAATGTCTGTTTCTAGAAGCCCTGTGCACTCTGGGAGGGCTGGCATTCTCTGGACCTCTGCTACCACCCACCCCTTAAGGGACCAACACAAACCTCCACCTCTCTCTGCCAGCCTCATCCTTCCACCCTGACCAAATGCCCAAGGGAGTTCCTTGCTACTAGCCAAAGGCCTGCTCATGACCACACCTGTCCCTGTCCCCCTCCTGTGGTGAGGCCTCTGCTCTTTGCCTACCTGCTACTCCTGAGCCCTCCCCATAGTGCTAACTGCGTCCCGGTGGTCCCATGCCGAGGACCACGGCTTTAAGAGACTGCGCTTGTAGACTGCTGCTCTCTCAGGTGCAAAGCCCGTCTCCACCTTCTGTGTTCCCAGCTCGGGGCCTGCCCGGTGGAGATGCCCAGACCTTTACTCAACAATTAGACACACAGGAAGACAACTGGAAAGCAGAGGGCCAGGGCTGGTTCTGCCACCAATTAGCTGTGTGACTGAGGATACACCACTGATGACAGTGGTCTCAGTGTCATGAACTGTGAAATGGGGAAACATCATCAACCTCACAGGTCTGCCAGGCGGCGACAGGAGCTACTGCTGTGTGAGAAGAGCTCTGTGAAGCATGAAGTGCCCTGCAAATGTCAGATGACATGTGGGGCCTCAACCGGAATCCATGCAGCTGAGGTCCTCAGCGGGGCCCATGGGGCTGCCGCAGCCAGCCAGGTGTCTACAAACCCCTGCTGAGCACTAGGGGCGGGGCCCCGGGCTGCGCTCTGGAAGGTACCTGCGGAAGGGAGGCAGACAGGGCCCCATCCCCATGACACCTACAAGGAGGCATCAGTCGGCCCACCCTCAGCCAAGAGCACACCCCCTGGCTGTGGTGGTGACGCCAAGGCAGAGCCCTGCGGTGCTGGCACTGCCCAGGGCTTCAAGCAGGGACCATCCTGAGGCCTGAGGTGGAGGGCAGGCCCAGGCTCCGGCAGCATGGGGGTGCCGAGGGCACTGCTATGCTCCGAGGGAGTCAGGACCTGGCTGTTCCTGGGTCTCTCCCACCAGACCCCTCACATGCCGAGCCCGCCTCCGCACAGTGGCACGGAGCCTTGACCTGGCTGATGGGATTCCTGGAGTCTGCTTTCAACACTTCTATAAATTTCCCATCAGACTCAAAGAAGGAAAGCAATCATCGCCACACAGTCTCTGACCACCAACCCAAAACCCAGCCCTCTAGTGCTCTCTCACTTCGTAAACTTCTGAAGCTTCTGCAAAAACTGGTGTAAATTCCCAATTTGCACCAGTTTTTGAACTCTGCTCTGTGTGATTTCAAATAGTGACTGTTCACTGGGTGCCTGCCTGGCACCGTGCAAGGCGCCAACACACTGCATTATGCAAGTCGCAAACACACAAACAAGCGCAGGGAGTCACACGGCCTCAGGCTCTTCACCAGTCGTTTCACTGGACCCTCACAACGAGCAGAACCATCTTCGTTTACGCCTGGGGAAACTGAAGCTCCGAGAGGCAACGCGAGGCTCTGTAACAGCAGACCAGGTTGTGAGTCACACTGGGCTCAGGAGTCCGTGCTCCCTGCTCGCCCACTCTTACTCGTCCCGAGCCAGTTTCCTCACCCGCAACGTCCAAGTGGTAGAGGAGACCAGTGATTTTCAAACTTTTCTTTAAGCCACGGACCCTTTGTTCAAATGAAATCTTAAGTGGAGATGTGATGTGTCAGATAGTTATAGACACAGGGCTCCGCAGGCGTGCGTGTGGCGGGGGCTGCAGTGCCACCAGCTGGGCTCCCCCCACCCTGCCCAGCACTCCCTGCTGGAGCCTGCAAGACCACCGGCTGGTGACCAGCGCCTGTTGAGCCCTGACTGGTCTTCACCAACAGCAAACGTTTATGGAGCTGGCACCAGGCTGTGAGGAGGGGCAGCCCAGGGGCCAGTGGCCCTCATAGGTCCTCAAGGGAGGGGCTCTCAGAGCTCCTCAGCAGGGACAGCAGATTCAGGGCTGAGACACCGGGCATGTGGCCAGCGCAGATCTGCAGCATGCGTACCAGGCGCTGCGCCATGGTGGCTCGGAAGCCTTCCACCTGCAGGGAAGAGCGGAGAACAGCAGTGAGACAGGATGGAGTGGCCAGCCCCGCTCCCCTACTGGGAGGAGCTGCAGGGGCCATTCTAGCTGGAGATGAAAGCCCAGGGCAGCTCATGGCACTACCGCCTATCACAGCCATGCCCTTGCTCATGCCACACCTCCCAAAGCAGCCTCCAGCCACCTCAGCTCACACGATCCGTCAAACAACCTCCAGAGATGCCCAGAGACTGTGACCCCCTGCTTAAGAGGAAATGAAGGCTTAGCAAACAAAGTTGGCTGGGCCAAGTAAACCATGCGGGGACACACAGTTAGTGACTGCAGAGCTGGGCTGTGAGCCAGGCAGTCCCAGGCGGCACAGGCCCCACAGGCTCACTTACCCAGGATCTGAGAAAGACCCTTGCAGGGGTGGGAAGGAGGAAGGAAAGAGAGTGGCCCTTACCACGGGTAAGGAGGTCTCGACCCAAAGGAGCTCCTTCCTCAGGGCTTTTGAAGAGCTAGTAGGCCTATGGGAGGTGGGGTTAGGCAGGGACAACAGGACTGTTCAGCAGAACGTGACACAGCCACTCATTCCCTCTCTGAAATGCTTTTTCTGCCTGGCTCCCAGGAGACTCACGCAGGTTTCCTTCCACCCCACTGGCTGCTCCCTCCTCTCTGCCTGAGATCTAAATGCTGGGGCTGCAGGGCTTGGTCCTTAGCTCTGTTCTCCCACACTCAACGCCTGGGTGCCCTCATCCAGTTCTGTGGTTTTAAAACCATCTAATTGCTGATGACACCCAAATTACATCTCCAGATCATTGCTCTGAATGTTGGACACACACATGCAGCTGCTGACTAGATTTCTCCACTTCAATGCCTAATAGACACCTTTATCTTAACATGCTCCAAACAGAGCCCCTGGAGTACCCGCAAACCTGCTAAGCCTATGGTCTTCCCATCTCAGCCAAGGGCAACTCCATCCCTCCAGCCAGTCTGGCCAAAACTTCAGAGCCATTGTGGACTCTTCTTCCTCTCATGTCTCACATCTTGGCCATCACCATGTTCTGCTGGCTCTTCCCTAGAAATAGCCAGTGTTGGAGAACATACCATCTCCCTCTTCCCTGGCCATCACCAAGTCCAGGCCACTCTTCTTTTTTTTTTTGGAGACAGAGTCTTATTGTGCTGCCCTCGCTAGAGTGCCGTGGCGTCAGCCTAGCTCACCTCAAACTCCTGGGCTCAAACAATCCTTCTGCCTCAGCCTCTTGAGTAGCTGGGACTACAGGCATGCGCCACCATGCCTGGCTAATTTTTTCTATATATTTTTAGTTGGCCAATTAATTTCTATTTTTAGTAGAGACAGGGCCTTGCTCTTGCTCAGGATGGTTTCGAACTCCTGACCTTGAGTGATTCTCCCACCTCGGCCTCCCAGAGTGCTAGGATTACAGGTGTGTGCCACCGCGCCCAGCCCAGGCCACTCTTAAGTCTTCTAGAAAGAGCCTCCAGAACTGTCCCCTATTTCTGCCCTTGCCTCCCTTTAGTCTACTCTCCTCCTGGCAGTCAGAGGGATCCATTTAAAACCCAAGTCAGGGCACATTCCTCACTGGCCCCAAACCCTCCAGCAGCTCCTGTTTTACTTGGAGTAAAAGCCACAGCCTTTACTTCAGCCCACACAGCTCTGCCCACCTGGTCCCACTATTCCTTTTTTCCTCTGACTCATCTGCCACCACTCTGCCCTTTGCTGCTGTGTTCCAGGCACCCAGGCCTCCCTGCTGGACCCTGAACTCCCCAGGCAAGTGCCAAACTCAGGGGCTTTCCACTCGCTGTTTCTCCTGCTGAGTGCACTCTTCCCCTGGGCATCTCCATGGCTCACCCTCCTACTTCAAGTCTTTATTTAAAAGTCACAGTTGTAGTAAAGCCTCCCAGGTCACCCTATCTAAATCTTGCCCCTTTTCTACCACCCGACATGTCACATCCCCATTTTCTAACACATTATGCATTCTACTTGTTTACCTTATTTGTTTCCTCAACTACAATGGAGCCAGGATTTTTGACTGTTTTGCTTGTTGCTATGGTCCTAGTGTCTAGAACAGTGCTTGGCACACTGCAGACATTCAAGAAGTATTTGTTGAATAAATCTTCTCACTCTAAGTCTTGTGGCTTTTGCCCCCAAATTCTATCTTCAAGCTGCTGCTGCTCTAGCTCAGGCTCCACAACCTGCCTCCTGCCTCTGGCCAGGCCTCCTCCAATCCACACATCACTCTAGAGACATGGCCCAAAAACCCAAGTCTGAGCACAATCACGACTTTGCCCATGATGTATAGGAAGAAATGACTTAATTCTACGGTCGTGTTTCTAAAGCCCAGCAAACCCTTCTGCTGTTGCATATATTACATATCTGTCTATCTCAGGAGATTCCACGAGGGAAGGGCCAGTATCTGACTCATGTGTGTTCCCAGGGACCAGCACGGAGCTCTACTAGCAGACCTAGGTAATTACTTCACTGGGTGAATCACACACTCCCAAGTGTGTTTCCTCATCTGTAAACGGGGGTGATAATTCCTGCTACGCAAAGGCCTCAAGATGTGGCGAGGCTCCAACTCAATTATGCAGAAAAGTGTGCTCTGAAAAGGACAACACAAGCATGAGGAGCGATGATGGTCCAAACACTGGGTGCTTCATTTAAGGGACGTGGGTCTACGTCCTGGGCATGCATTTCTGCAGCCCCTGCGGCTGGCTGGAAACAGGCTGGGCCTCCTGCTCCCTACGGACACCTTTCTTGAGACTTCTCAGGCTAGAAGAGAACCTAACCTGGTATGGCCTGCCACCTCATGGCCACAGACAGAACTGCAACACCTACGCCTGGGCTGTGGCGCAAGGGTTGTGATTCCCCTTTAGAGATGAGAAAACTAAAGCTCTGCAGGGGCAAAGTGACTTGTTCAAAGCCACACTGTCAGCAGGCTATGTATGACAAGAGAGGCAGCTGCATACCAACCGACTGGCTCTACTGCTTACTTACTAGCTGCTTCTCTCTATTCTTGTTTCCTCACAGGTTTCTCGTGAAGAAAGCCTGGCAGGGGCAGGCATGTCAGGAGTGCCCAGGCCTCAGGGTCCCATCCATGTGAGTCAGAGCATTGATCTAGTCGGGGGTTCTAAAAATAGTTATCAAACATGAAAAACAAACATGTGATAGAGGAGTATGTGTATCTTTATCAATGCATCGATCTAGGGGCAGGTCTAACGACTACTGTCACATTGAAGTAGTGATGAGATGTGACCAATCCTGATGTGATATAAAAACATTTGCTATTTCTTTTTTTTATTTCTTAGAGACAGAGTCTCACTCTGTCACCCAAGCTGGAGAGCAGTGGTGCAATCACAGCTTACTGCAGCCTCAGATTTCTGGGCTCAAGCGATCCTCTGCCTCAGCCTTCCGAGTAGTTAGGACTATAGGCGCACGCCACCACGTCCAGCTAAATTTTTGTTTTTTGTAGAGAGTGTCTCACTATGTTGCCCAGGCTGTAGCCTCAAACTTCTGGCCTCAAGAGATCCTCCCACCTCAGCCTCCCAAAGTGCTGGGATTACAGGCGTGAGGCAACACACCTGGCTTTTTGCCATTTCTATTGGTAACAGTCATAGACTCTGCTAATACTACTGACATCTCTTTTCTACATTCATAATGCTCAATTTCACTTAGAAAGCAGTAGAAAAAAAAGAAGTAATTTATTTCCTCATCCAAGTTCACAGATCCCCTGAATTCTGCCCTCAGACCAGAGGGCTCCACTGACCCCAAAATAAGAACTGCTGAGCTAGACGGTGGGGAAGGATCACATGTTGACCCTTCTGCATTACCACTTTGCCTTTGGGAATAGGTGCAAGACCCAGAACAGAGCAGAAACACAAGCTTCAAAATGAACCTCAAAACCAATAAACAGATTTCCAAAGCAACTGAGCAGGCCTCATGCATGGGTGGGGCAGCTTAGGCCATGAGATCCCTCAGCACTCCTCCCAGGTGGGGCACATCAACTCCTGCTAAGGACTCTTTAGCAAAAAATCATCAGGATTCATCATGCATAAAAAGAGGCTGAAGAGTAAAACATGTCAGCAAAATGGACATCTGCTTTGTCTCCCTATGGTTAGGCTCACCTTGTGAGAAACACCAAGAAAACTAGTATGGGCAGGACCAACACCACATGTATCCATCCAGCCATCTACCTACCCACCCGACAAACAGCCGTACTGCCTGCTGGGTGCCCTGGCCTGGGCTGGGACTGGACAAGGTCTGTATCCAGGGAGGTAAGGACAATGTCATACATTCTTATTGCTGCCAGGAGAACAAAAGGATGCACTGGTTAATGAGACAGACATGACACCTGGCCTCACAAGCACTTACACCCCAGTAGGAGAGTAAGATATTAACAAGGATCCACAAATACATATATAGGACTTAGTTATAAGTACAGAGAAACAAGCAAAAGAAAAAGCAGGGCAACAAATGATAGAGCTTGGCATGTAAGAGGCATTCAAGATGACCCCCACTTTGCATGTATGTACTCCAAAGCTTAAGGTAACCTGCCCAAGGTCACAGCCAGTGAGCTAAACAGCTGGGATTCAAAGCAGGATCTCGTGTTGCACTTCACGTCAGCAGCCACCTCACTTGGCTACTTGATGATTCTTCAGTAAGCCTTCCTGACATGCGCGCTGTGAGCTGACTGCCCCTTCCCCTTGCACTTCCCCTGGACTTGAGTGTGACATAAGCCACTGTGATCAGTGTCCTCACCTCTAAGTCACAGAAGAGCAGAGGGCTTTGGTAGGTGTGGGCCAGCTTCACAACGGTGTGCCGGTGAATGATGCAGTGGTTCTCCTGCCCAGCTGCAAGGAAGCCATGAGAGTGACAGCTGTAATCTCTTCCTTCATGGCTGTAATCCAGTAAGCGCTGGACAACGTAATTCACTTTCCCTCTCTGGGTCTCAGTTTCTTTCTAGTCAATGGGTGACAATCCTGTTCTACCTTGTTTTCTGGGTAGTTAAGACTATCAAATTAGACCATGAGGATAATAATAGCTCCTACCTCACTGGGTTATTCTAGAGAGCCAATGAGTAGATACCCAGAAACTACCTGGCCTTCATTTATTCACCAATGCTTATTGTGCCAGGCCCTCCTCGCAAGGAGCTGACACTTAAGCTGGGGAGGCAGACAGGCCGGACATGTCATTGGTGCCAAAGGTGACACTGGAGCTGAGTTTTTTTTTGTTTTGTTTTGTTTTTCTGGAGCTGAGTTTTGAGGTTTTCGTAGGAGTTAGCAAGAAAAGAAGAGGAAAAAAGTATTTGAGAGAAGCCATACAGTAATCATTAAGAGGACAGGCCCTGGAGTAGGACTATCTAGGTGTGCACCTCAGCTCTACCACTTTTTGGCTATGGGGGCCTTGGGCAAGTTAATATCATGATCAGTTTCCTCAGCTATAAAAACTGAGATAATCATACCTACCTCAAAGATTAATATGACATAAAAAACAAAGCAACTACAAGCAGTGGCTGGCTCACGGTGAGAACTCAATAAAAGTTAGCCATTGTTATTTCCACTGTTAATATTACAAAGCCTCAGGAACTGCAGGACTTTTTCAGAGAACTATAAGCTGACTCAAAGAATAAGAGAGTAATAGACTAGATAAGAAGGCAGGGGCCAAACTGCAAACTGCAAAAGTCTTTAGAGGAGTTTGGATTTTCCTCTGAAAGCTACAGGGAGCCACTAGGCAACTCTAAGCAACAGCAGAATTATCTGTTCCGATTCACTTTTAGCAAGACGACAACAGGTCAGATTCCAAAGTACATGCTCTTTCCATCCCCTAGGCTGTCTCAGCAAGGAGTCTACAACTGCCACAGTTTTCCCTTGGTTGAGGGTGGGCAGTGGCAGGTGAGGGACATACTTACCACCTGTGGCGAGGAAGCACACCTTCCCCAAGAAAAAGCTGCTGTCCACATGGCGCAGGGACTCCTCTGTGTTCTGGAGGCTGTTGTGGCCAGGCCAGAGAGAGAAAACAAACCACAAGAGAAAACTTTATGACAGAAAAAGCAGAAACTCCTGTTTCTCTGATCCTAGACAGGCCAGTGAATAAGAGGAAGGGGACAGGAGAAGTACTTTATCCTTTAATTTTTTAAAAAACTACTTTTAGGCGCAGTGGCCCATGCCAGTAATCCCAGTGCTTTCGAAGGCTGAGGTGGGAGGATCGCTTGAGGTCAAGAGTTCGAGACCAGCCTAGGCAACATAGTGAGACCCATCTCTACAAAAAATTTAAAAATTAGCCGGGTGTGGTGGCACATGCTTGTAAGTCCCAGCTACCTGGGAAGCTGAGGCAGAGGATTGCTTGAGCCCAGGAATTCGAGGTTACACTGAGATATGGCCACTGCACTGCAGTCTGGGTAACAGGTTGAGACCTTGTCTCTAAAACATATAAATGAAAACAAACAAAAAAATAAAATTACTTTTAATTATAAAGTGACTCGTGCTTGTAAAATCAAATGGTATATGTAAAAATTAAAGTCCCACTCTCTCAGCAACACCCTTTACTCCTGATTTCCCAGAGGAAACTGCTGCCAACAGTTTGAGGTGTAATTTCTCTAGAATTTTTTTCATATGCAAATAGAATAGACAGTGGTATGTATAAGCATCTGTTTGGGTCCCACATATCATCAAACTCCTTACCAGTACATAGAAATCTGTTACCTTCTTCAGAATGACTACACAGCATATCATAGTCTATTTTCCCAGTGATAAGCATTAAGTGGTCTCCAGTTTTTCATTATTACAAAGAATGCAGCATGAACATTCTTTGACAAGTACTCTTGCACATTCAAGCAAATATTTCTGTAGGACAGATCCTAGAAGTGAATGGCTAGGTCACAATATGTGTCTTTTAAAATGATTTAGTCATACAATTGTATGAAAATGCTCTTTTCCCTCCAAACAAGGAGCTCTGACCTCCTGGGCTGAGGCTATCATTCACTGGTGTCCAGGGACAAATGAAGGAATCTGATGTCTCCTGCCAAAAAAGACACCTTGGTCAGGTGGCCCAAGCCAAGGTTTCAGCCTGAGGCCAATAGCAACAATGATCCTTCCCCTAAGGGTGGCTGCAGGGCAGGATCTCTCCAAAGACCAGGTCAGTGTCCCTTTCAGTGAACAGAGAGGCCTCACTCAAAGAGCAACAGATCTGCTGAGAAAAACAGATCTTATCCTGTGGCAATCGTGGCAGATCTCCGCTCCTTCTCAGTCCTACTACAGCCTAACGCCCTGCTGACTAGTTCCAACCAGTCCTGATGCTACCTGTACCTGGTATCTCCACACTGCTGGGTTCCTAGGTATTTCCACCACAGCCTTTTTTTTTTTTTTTTTTTTTGAGACAGAGTCTCGCTTTGTTGTCCAGGCTAGAGTGAGTGCCGTGGCGTCAGCCTAGCTCACAGCAACCTCAAACTCCTGGGCTCCAGTGATCCTTCTGCCTCAGCCTCCCGAGTAGCTGGGACTACAGGCATGCGCCACTATGCCCGGCTAATTTTTTATATATATATATATATCAGTTGGCCAATTAATTTCTTTCTATTTATAGTAGAGACGGGGTCTCGCTCTTGCTCAGGCTGGTTTTGAACTCCTGACCTTGAGCAATCCGCCCGCCTCGGCCTCCCAAGAGCTAGGATTACAGGCGTGAGCCACAGCGCCCGGCCATCCACCACAGCCTTTAACCCCCACCACATAACTAGGTGTTTGTCTTGGTCTCCGTGCTGGACCTTGCGCCCGCCCTAGCCTCAGTCAACAACCCCCAGGAGGAACTCACTCCCATCTTTACCTAGGTAACCCATCTTTCAGGTGGTTTTCTTTGAGATAAGGTCTCACTGTTGCGCAGGCTGGAGTGAAGTGGCGTCATCACAGCTCACTGGAACCTCAAACTCTTGGGTTCAAGAGATCCTCCTGCCTCAGCCTCCTAAGTAGCTTGAGACTACAGGCACGCACCACATCTGGCTAACTTTTATTTTTTGTGGCAACAAGATCTTGCTATGCTGCCCAGGCTGATCTCAAACTCCTGGCCTTAAGTGATCCTCTTACCTTGGCCTCCCAAAGTGCTAAGATTACAGGCATGAGCCACTACACCCAGCCTCAAGTGTTGATTTAGATGTTACCTCTACTGGAACATCTACCCTGATCTCCCACACTTAATTCCTCCTGGCCATCAGAGGTCTGGTTTGGGCTCCCATATCCCAGTGCTTCCTCACTTTACATTACATATTCCAGATACTGTAATTGTCTGTTCAAAAGTCCAGCCTCCTCCCCAAGTGAACTAGGAGCACACTGAAGACAAGGGGACCATTTCATTCATCTGTGTGCCTGCTGTCAAGTGTACACAGTGGGCCTCAGAAAGCATTAGCTAAACAAACAGATAGTGTCTTTTAAACACTGTGCGCTAACCACTGGCTCCTCCTTCCCCACCCTGTAGGCTGACCCCAGGCAGCCTCTCCTAGCCTCTTCCCCTTCCCTTCACAAGTGAGGTCACTGTTCCAGCACACTCTCAAGCCAGGTCTGCCTAAGCCCTGACAGCCCCTGTCCTCTGGCTCTCACCTGTATTTGCTGTGAAGGTTAACCACAAACACGATCAGGTCAATTCTGGGCCGATTCACATTGGCGGGCAATGGGAGGGACCTTGCCAAGTGGCTGAAAAACAAGAAATTGCAAGACTAAACATATATGCACCCCCCTCACAGTGACTGTTCAAGAAGCTATCAAGGGCTCCTCACCTATTTGCCTGACCAAGACTCCTGTGGCCAAGACTCCCTGGGTGAGTACAGAGGAAGGACAGAGCCAGTCATATCCAGATCACTCCTGTTTGATTCCCTTTGCCAGAAAGGGGATCTGTTTAGTAACCACCGTGGCAAGCGGGAGATCTGGATATAAGATGGCATGGGGCTAACAAGCTACACTGCATGCTGGGAGGGAGACCTGGCTTAGAAGAGGAGGTGCTGGAAGGTGAAGTTTAAGGGCTAAGATTGAACTCCTTTGGCATGAGACAGATGCGGGCTCAAGTCCCAGTTCTGTCAATTTCCAGCTATGTGATCGTGGGCAAGTCATTCTCATCTGGACTTGGTCTCTGGTTATCAAATACCCACCTGAAGGCTTTTCTTGAATACTTTGCTGTTGCCCATTTCCACATATTGCCATTACTCATTTCCCTTTCCACCAGATTATAATTCAAGAACTATCAAAAAGTACAAAACCCACAAAAGTTTAAAAAAAAACCAACCTATATCCCCCCAAAAAATCCAGTCACCTAGAAATTACTTCTATTAGTATTATAACATTTTTTAAAAAAATGTTTTTATTCTTAATTCATAATAAGAGAGAGAGAGAGAGAGAGAGAGAGAGAGAGAGAGAGAGAGAGAGAGAGAGAGAGAGAGAGAAAAGTGGAGTATAAGAACGTGGGAGCATTTGATATCATCCAGGAGACTAAAAAGGGATGCTGGGGAGTGAAGCAGAGGGAAAGAATGACAGACTCAGAGGGAGTGGGTCACAGAAAATTAGGGAGACAGTTGGAGACAACAGTTGCTGAAGTAGATGCTACCATTGGTTAAAATGCTGCTACTACAGTACCTTGGCATTCACCTCAGGGTGTGCTTCAGACCAAACTGTCCTTTGTTAGTACTGCTCTTTGAGACTGAGTTTATTTTTCCATGGACTTCTTGGGGTTTCTCTTGTGTATAAGGAATTGACAAAGGTTTGAGAAATTTACGTAGGAAACAAGGAGGACCTCTGACCCCATCAGAGAAAATATGCAAATGTAAAGTGGTATTTACAGGGGGATAAAATAACTATGACTTCATGATTTGGCAGAATGAATCAAGAATATGAATTGTGAATATTCTGTGTGTTAATGGGATTCACTCACATGTACATGTATGATAAAGTGAGAATACACTAAGGAGATAAATTCCATGTAATTTTCCCCAGTATGCTCATGTCCTTGTTAATATTGATAATGACTTTGATCCCATAACACTTTAAACAAACTTCCACTTTAAAATATAACAACTCTTCTCTCATGCACTTGATTGTAATTTTTTTTTTTTTTTGAGACAGGGTCTCACTCTGTTGCCCAGGCTAGAATGCCATGGCATCATCCTAGCTCATAGCAACCTCAAACTCCTGGGCTCAAGCAATCCTCCTGCCTCAGCCTCCTGAGTAGCTAGGACTACAGGCATGTGCCACCATGCCTGGCTAATTTTTTTTTTTGTATGTATATATATATTAGTTGGGCAATTAATTTCTTTCTATTTATAGTAGAGACGGGGTCTGGCTGTTGCTCAGGCTGGTTTCTAACTCCTGACCTTGAGCAATTCACCTGCCTCAGCCTCCCAGAGTGCTAGGATTACAGTGAGCCACCATGCCCCAGCCTAAACTATGTTTCAATTTTCTCTATATTGGATTCTCTATACTTCATCCTACCATTTTGACAAGACTCATAAATGTGCATTCCATCATTATTATTATGATATACATTTATATTTTGTTCTAACTATAATTCTGGACCCAGGCTGATAAAACTGCCACTCCGTAACACTGCTGATCTCCATGGGAGAGGCAAAGGACCCTGGGTTGGGGGGATGGTGTCTTTCTCTGGCAATTAAATGCTTCAGTAGTGAAGAGATAATCATTTTTGCTCACAACTCATTGGCCAGAACTAGTCACATGGCCCCACACAACCGCAAGGGGCCAAAAAAGTACAATCCTGATTCTTGCCATGTGCTACTACTTCATAGAGAGTTTATTTCTCTCTCTCTCTCTCTCTCTCTCTCTCTCTCTCTCGGAGAGAGAGAGAGAGAGAGAAATATTTGGCAATAGAATGAACACATAATGATATGGGTGATTTGCTTTTCCTGTTTAAAAGCCTGAAACATTATTTACCCTTTAAGTTCAATAACTTAACTAGGATACAACTTGACATCAAGTGTTCTGTTACCATATTTCCTCAAACAAGATATATATATACCCTTTTTAATGGAAAAATTCAACTTTTCATTCATTCATTCCAGGGAAGTTTTCTTCTATTATATCTTTGAACACCTTCACTATAATTTCTCAAATCTTTCTTTTTGTAAATACTTTTTAAAAAGTTTTCAACCACATCCACTCTGATCCTGTTTCTATGCATTTATTAGACAGATCTCAAATGGTAGTATTTTGGGTACTCCTTTTTTACCCTTAGCTCTGCAACCTCCCTTTTCCTCTGTTGTTTTATCATGTGGTCTTTGAATGTTTCTTTTTGTTTTTTTTGAGACACAGTCTGGCTTTGTTGCCCAGGCTAGAGTGAGTGCCATGGCGTCAGCCTAGCTCATAGCAACCTCAATCTCCTGGGCTCAAGCAATCCTACTGCCTCAGCCTTCCGAGTAGCTGGGATTACAGGCATGTGCCATCATGCCCGGCTAATTTTTTCTATATATATTAGTTAGCCAATTAATTTCTTTCTATTTATAGTAGAGACGGGGTCTTGCTCTTGCTCAGCCTGGTTTCGAACTCCTGACCTCGAGCAACCCGCCCACCTCCGCCTCCCAGAGTGCTAGGATTACAGGCCTGAGCCACCGCACCCAGCTGAATGTTTCTTTTTGAAATTCATGTTCTTATTAAATTTTTCAATATACAGATGAGAGAAAAATACAAGTTTCCCACCACATAACAGAAACACTGTGTGCTGTACTAGCCTTGAGTGCTCAACAAAGTTGTTATAAAGTCACAACTACCACCTTGAACACTCGGCTCCAACTCGCCCTGACTGCTTTAGAGCTGCTTTCGTTGTCCAATAGTACCCTTTAGCTAACTGCAATACTAAAATCCCTGTCTCGTGGAATATTGTAATATCATGTTGCATGACAGCATGATAATGGTAGGGTGCCTGCATTATTTGTTTCACCATGAACAATCAAAGAAACAACGTAAAAACTTTGCATTACTCATGGGGAAGAGATTTAAGGCAACACCAAAGGGTGGACAGATGTGGATTTTGCATGCAAGAAAGCTCCTGTGGAAGAAATTTCTGTGCTGCTCATCAAGTAACCCTTGCAAGTAACCTCTATTAAACTCAACTAACTCATCAAGCTGGACTTGTCTAAGTCACTCTTTGGTCTCTTGCCTGCCTCTCATTTTGAAGAGAGATTTTTCCTTTCGTTAAATTTTTTATTTAGGCCGGGCGCGGTGGCTCACGCCTGTAATCCTAGCACTCTAGGAGGCCGAGGCGGGCAGATTGCTCGAGGTCAGGAGTTCGAAACCATCCTGAGCAAGAGTGAGACCCCGTCTCTACTATAAATAGAAAGAAATTAATTGGCCAACTAATATATATAGAAAAAATTAGCTGGGCATGGTGGCGCATGCTTGTAGTCCCAGCTACTTGGGAGGCTGAGGCAGGAGAATTGCTTGAGCCTAGGAGTTTGAGGTTGCTGTGAGCTAGGCTGATGCCACAGCACTCACTCTAGCCTGGGCAACAAAGTGAGACTCTGTCTCAAAAAAAAAAAAAAAAATTTATTTAATATTATTATTCTTTCTTATTTTTTTTTTCTTTACAGCTGACATGTACAGATGTCGTTAAAGAAGGAGGAAGGTTTTTCTATGCTGTCCTGGGACTTCCCCAAAACAGAACACTGAAAGAGGAGCATTTCTTCTTTTTCTAGAGTGGGTTTTTCCTTAGATTTTTGTATGCAATGTGACTTGCCCTTTTTTTTGCAATGGTTCCTATGACACTTCTTTGTATCTTGTTTTTGTTCAGTGTAGGCAATTCTGTCCACATTTCCCACTTACCCTGACACTAATTAAATGCATTTTTTAATCCTTTCCCATTTCTGAGCTATGGGTTTGAAATTGTTGGTTGTGTTTGATGTTCTGTAGCCTGTGAGCCTGGTAAGGTGGATGGAGGACAGAGAGACCAATGAACAGTCTTTATTTTGGGGGCAAAAATTATACTCCCTTATCAGAGGTTCTTTAAAGTGCCGTACCAATGTTTATTCTACCTAGTAAGGGCATTCCAATGTCCACGGAGGAAATACACTCTGGATTTGGATCGTTCTCTTTCAACATGGACTCCTGGGCCTATCTTTCTATCAAGGAGAATGACACCCCCACATACTCAGTCACCTAGCTGAAATGGCAGCTCTTTCTACTACCTTACCAGTCAGAAAAAGAAAAGCAAAATGTACTTCTTTAGTTATCTTTTCTCCAAATTTGGGGAGGTACTAAAGAATTCTCAGAATTTTGTCATTGGAGTAGGGTTAGCAGGTAAACCATACCAAAATTTTTTGCTGCCAATTTTTTGCTGATTTTTGCTATTTTCCAATTCATTTTACTAAGTTTGGGAGAAAGAAGAGCTTGTCTTTACCATATTTACTGGGGAATTCTTGCCTTCCACTTTTACTACCTCTAGACACTTCCGGTAACCTCTCCTTTCAAAAGCCTTTTTGAATCTTGAATTAACCAGATTAATTTAACAATTATTAATTGAGCATCTATTTTGTGCCAGTTATTGCTCAAGGCACTGGGGATTCACCAGTGAACAAGGGCCAAAATCTCTGCACTGAAGGGGCTGATAAGTCCCTTCAGGGGGTGGCAGACTGGGCAAAGTAAAACAATGGCTGGACAGGTAATTTCTTATGGCAACAAGCGCTATGAGGAAAACAGAATATGTGTGGTGACACAGAGTGATGGAGGCTACCTTAGATGGGGTGCCCAAGGGTGTCCTAAGGTCTGCACATCTGAATTAAGGGGAGAAGGAGCCAGTTCTGGGACAGGATGACGGGCAGGTTCAGCAAGGGCAGATGGCTAAGATGTAGGAGTTAGCCATCAGGCACCCCCTGCGCCCCGAGCCCCTGGCAGCCGCTTTCCTTGTCCCTCAGGCCCATGCCAGAGTTCAGGCCACAGCTGCAGTTACTTACACCTTCAGCTGGGAGACGCAGTCCTCCTTGAGCATCGAGTCCGCTAGCAGCTGCAGAAGAGCATCCTCCGCGCCCACCAGCTGCCCAGAGAGAGAAAGCGACCAGTTGACACCTGGGCACAGCACCCCTTCAGGAGGGCCTGGCACTTTGATCTCCCAGGGAGATCAGGCCACCGCCACAAGGGAGCCTGGAGGACGCCATTTCTTCGAGAAAAGGACCCCCGCGAGGAGGCTTGGGTTGAGGCCCGAAGTTTGGACCTGCTCCAGGCCTGTTGCCACTGCACTTATTATATTACTCCTCCAACCCTCCCGCGGACCGACCGGCCTCTCGTGGAGCCCAGACCCTGGGACGCGGGAAAACCAAGTCCTGGCTTGAGGGAAGGATGTGGGCGGGAGCCACGTTCTCAACCAATAGGAGTAGCCGCTCTCCGAAGCTGAGTGACACATCCGCCAATAGGTGCGCAGCGAACTCTTTCCCAGCTTCTGATTGGCAAGTGGGCGGGGTCGAGCTGGGCCCCACCAGAACAGCGCGCCAGTGTCTCAGAAAGCGCAGAAGCCAGGCCACCGAGGCGCAGCAGGGGACGGGCGGGCGGGGAAGCTGAGCCGCTGGCACCTACCAAGATGGTGGCCGTGTTCAGGCCGGGCAGCTTGTCCAGTGGCCTCAACACCGACATCCCAGTGGCAAGCCGAACCGCCGCTCCCGCGCCAGACTTTCAAACCGCCCCGACTCCGCCCCCAGCGCTCAGCTTAGGGCACGTGGCCCCCCTATGGGCGGGGCTTAACGGGTTCTCTTAAAGGAACCGCTACCTCCTTTTCTGAGAGGGCTTTGCAGTACTGACCCAAGGAACGTAAGGCGCTGTACAGGCCTTTTGTTCCACACTTTCAGGGAAAGAAAGTTCTCAATGATTCATTTGTTCACTTTTGTTCATTCACACTCATTTATATATAGTACTCTCTTTTTTGTTTGCTTTAGAGTCGGGGTCTGGCTGTGTTGCCCAGGCTGGCCTTCAATTCCTGGGCTCAAGCGATCCTCCCGCCTCAGCCTCCTATGCAGCTGAGACTACAGGCGTGAGCCACCTGGCCTGGACATTCACAGCACTCTTAGTTCCTTCCAGACCGCCCCTCCTATGTCTTCCCCCATGTCAGCTGACTCTGTCCTTGCAGCTGCTCAGAACAGAACCTTGGGGTAGTTCTTGACTCCTCTTCTTCACGGCCTGGGGTGTGGAGGGGACTTCCTGAAAGTCAGGTAGTAGGAAGCACTACAAAGATAAAGTAAAGTGGGCAGGGGAAGTGATAGGTGGGAAGAAGCTACTTTAGGTCAGGGCAGGCCTCTCCCGAGAAGGTGTCATTTGAGCAGATGCCTGAATTCAGTGAGAGAGGATCCCATTAAGTATAAGGAAGGAGAGAGTTCGTACAGAAGAAACTGCAAGTGGAAAGGCCCTGAGGGGGGAGCACTCCTGGCACTTCTGAGGAATCACAAGGAGGCCAATGGCTTAGGCAGTTGGAGTGCGGAGAAATTGGGGGGAGGTGAGGCTAGAGGGGTGACTGAGGGCCAGGAGATGAGCCCTTAGAGAGTAGTGGGCCATGGAAGGACTTTGGACCTGGTCAGGACTTCCCAGGAGGGGCTAAGCTGAGACCCATTGATCAACTTGTGCTGAGTCTCTGCCTCCCCCGGGCCAGGCCTCCTGCTGGGCGCTGAGGACCCAGGCACCAGAGGGGTCATCCTGCTTCTGGGAGTTACCAGTGGCAGCTGGGCAGACAGTGAAAAGCAAAGGCACTGCAGCAGGTGAGAGCCAGCTGGGGAGCAGCAGATGAAGGTGCCTTAAGTGTCCCTGGGAGCCCACGCTGCACTTCACTGGGGAGGTGATCATTGGCTAAGATGCCAAAGGTGAGTTGGTGCTTGTCATGTGGGTAGTGGGGAAGACACTAGCTGTGTGTAGGATCCATCCTGTGATAATGGGTAGGGCTTGACCGGGAGCCAGACCCAGGCCTGGAGGGTCTTACCTCCTGAACTCCTAGAGCTGGCAGGGCCATCAGAGACTTCTGGGCCCATGTTTTTGTTTTTGTTTTTTTTTTTTTTTTGAGATTTTATTGAGTATTATTTATTGAGCCTTAAAGATTAAAATACGATTGATTTCACAAGTGAAAAGGTAAGTCTACCTATAAATTTCCTCAAGGTGGGATGCGAGTGAAATATGATCACAAAAAGCTTTTTAACAGGGGAAGAAGTGATATTAATGCATTTGAGTTAATATTTAGCATTTATACAAGACTGATATTTCCATATTAATGTTTGAATGTACCAACAGTAAAACAGATTATTTAAATAATCAGTTAAGATTATCTAAAATAGATCACAAGTGTTCATTTAGAACACTTTCCTAGTGTACTCTTCAAAGTAGATAGCATCAGACATAGTGATAACCTAATAGCTCATTCAAAGCTAAATGGTAATGTTTGTCTACACATTATTTGACATTTAAAAATCGGGTTATTTAAAAATTTTGCTAGGCTCAGATATTGGATACCAGGGTGATTTCTTGGAAAATCTAACATGATGGATGTAGCATTAATTACAAGACCTGGTTTTAAATGCCATGGACCAATTAATATGTACCCTGTACACACTCTCCTCTGTTATTCTTGGAGAAATTTTTCCCAATCTGTGAGATAATGCTGGTGAATTACTTTCTTAGTGATCAATATAAAAATGAATAGGGAAGCTCTGACAACTAATGCTAGAAATAATATTGAATCTAATTAATGCCACCTTGTCAATATGTGCATGTGGAACATAATGAAGAGTAGCTCTTAATAAAACTAGAGAAATAAGATTTTCTGAAATACAACATGAGTACTGTTGCAAAACACTTTCAACTAAGTTAGAAATCACTTGCCTTGTCATTTGTTAGGCTTACATGTTAGTAAAATTATAAAGTACTCTATACTGGTAAAGCAGGAACCCTTGCATTGATTCAGTAGTTGGCCTGTTTATTCTGGATTCATAGTAGTAATAAGCACCTTATTAGAGAAGGGTTGGTCAACATAGAGGGAGGAGGTGGGGACTGGTTAGGTCGACTGAATTCCAAATGCCAGTAATGGGTTTCTTAGTGATGGATGCTGTACTTGCACCACCAGCCTACGCCTTAACCACTCCCTTCTCCTCATCACAGAGAGGCTCAACTACGATCCCAGGTGCTGGCTCTGCCACCAGTTCCAGCTCCAGCTCCGGCTCTGGCTCCAGCTCGATCGCAAGCTCAGGTACAGGAATAGGCTCTGGTCCTGGGGCAGGCCCTGTGGCAGGCTCTGGGGCAGGCCCTGGATGTTGGATAGGCTCATGGTCTGGTTCCTGAATGGTGGCAGTGTCATTTGTGAGTGGAAGGTGGTAAAGTTGCTTCTAGTTGGACGGCGTCTTCTGCTGGCACTGCTTCATCCTCTGCACTTTTCTTTGTCATTGGTTCAAGTTCCGTGACGGCCTTAGAATTTCTCTTCCTCTCTTTTGCCTTTGCCTTGTTCCTTGCGAAGCACACAACAGAGGTGATGATGGCAACACCTACCAGTGAACCTACCAAGGCCACAATGATGATTATAACTTCTCGATGTGAAGAAGTTAGATCGATTTCGCAGGAACTGTTGTTGCCGAGGCTGTTGATAGCGGTACGCTGGTAATAACCTTGCTCAAAATTTGTCAGATTTCCAATAACCAAAGTCCCGGTGGCTGGGTTTGCTTTCACTGGTATGATGTTGCTTCCTTCGAGTTTATACCAGTAGTACACGGGGGAAGGCGTTCCAAGTGCAGACAGGCAAGAAAGAGAGATGGTATGGTTGATTGCTGGTCTTCCTTGAATGCTACAAAAGGGCTTAGAAGGTTTGACTGACACGTTGACGTTGAGGGTGCCCTGGTTTTTGCCATCAAAGTCTGGGGGTTGTTAACATCACAGATGTAAACTCCACTCTCCACTGGCTGGACGTGTGAAATGGTGACAGACGCATTACCTGGAGCGTTGGACCGTATAACGGGGTCTTTAAATCGCCCGATGGCTGTGCCTTGTCCACCTTCAGAATAGCAGACCCGAGAGGTCCAGCTACCTCTTCCCCGGGCGTCTCTTGCATGGGCCATTTTTAGACACTGACTGACTGCCTTTTCCTCCATACCCTCGGCACTGAGGCACGGGGGGAAATTGGCTCCAACTCCTCCTCACGGGATAAAGACCACTGGATGGAAAGCCCATCTAGGGAAGCCGCAGTGGTGGTGGAGAGGCAGAGCAGAGTGACATCAGATCCAACAGTCACCTTCACGAAACTGTCTGGGACGGTCACTTGCACCACACTGAGCTGACCTCCGAAATCCAACCAGTGATGAACCACAGGCAGATGGTTAGAAGGGTCTGGAACTCAGCAAAGAGAGCTGGATTGACAGGGAACAACCGTCCGGTGCCTGGACGGGGCCGCTCGTCGCCTCGCTGCTGCGCTGCATCCCCCCAGGCCGGTGCTGCGGTGGGCCGGCTGGGGGCCGCGGTGGGTGCGCGCTGCTGGGGCCCTGCCTCGCCTGTGGAAGCCCGCTGTCTGAGCCCATGTTTTTCTAACTGGCTTCTGTGGAGCCCTAGGAGATGCCTTGGGGCACCATGAGGGACTCTGGAATCTGAGTGGATGGTGTCCAGTAACTCCACCCCACCCCACCATTTTACAGATGCAAATCTGGCTTTATCTCTGTTATATATTGAGCTTCCCATAAGCTTTGTATGAATAGAGAATCAATGGCTAAAACAACACCTGCAGGCCACTGATCACACTTTTTTTAACAGATTTGTTGAGGTATAATTGACATATAATAAACTGTACATATTTAAAGTATACAATTTGATAAGTTTTGACATACGTAAGAAGCCACCATCGCAATCAAGATACTGAACATCTATCACTTCCAAATGTTTCCTCCTGCCCCTTTGTAATTCTTCTCTCAACTCTTCTCTGCTTTCCCACCCCAAACTCTTACAAGCACTTTGGCATCTTTGCTCATAATAGCCCCTACTGGAAACAGCCCAAATGTCCTTCTGTGGTGAACAGATAAACAAATGGATTTCAAAAGCATTCTGCTGAGCAACAGAAACCAGACACAAAAGAGTGCACATTGTACGACTCCATTGATATGAAACCCAAGTACGAGCAAAACTAATCTGTGGTTAGGGAAGTCAGGTCAGAGGGTGCCTTTGGTGAGGGAGCATTGGTTGACATGAGACAGGAGAGAACTCTCTGGGGTGATGGAGGCATCTACCTTGATATGGCTGGTGGATGCACAGGTGTATACAAAGGTATAAATTTGTCACTTAAGATTGTGTGTTTTGCTGTATGTACCTTATACCTCAATACAAATAAAGTCCCTCTGTGAATTCAAAATCACTTTCCCTGCCCCACGTATGTAGAAAAGGACCCGCCATACTTGCAGAGCCTCCAGGTGGTCCCAGAGCTGGCAAGGTATCTGTGGGTTAGGGGACGTAGGGTCCTAAACCTACCTCACCCAGACAGAGCCTTTCCCACCTACCTGTTTTCAGGTTTCTGGGAATGGACTCCCCAGGGAGGCCTCTTCCCTGCCCTGCGGGCCCCTTGGGCTACTCTCTCCTCCTGCGACAATAACCACTGCTGTTTATGGAAGGCTGGCTGGGCACCCAACACCTGGCAGACGCTCTGTCTATTGGACAGGGGGTGGGGAGGATCCAGGCTTGGGAGGTGGACCCCCGACTTCCCAGCCCCATCCCGTGGCTTTGAATTCCAGCTTAGTCACTGGGAAGCTGAGTGACCTAGAAGGACAAGGCAAGCAGCTTCACCTCTCTGAGCAGTAGTAGCTCATCCCAAAATGGGCTGTCACCAGCAACCCAGCTGGGAGGACTGCAGGAAGTGACCTGTGGGGCCATGACCTTGTGGGGGTGCTTGGTGCCTGTGCTGGCTGTACCTTAGTCAGGGGAGCCACAGGGCGGCTGAGGCAGAATGGGGAGGGGCAGCCCTTTGTCAGGGGCCTGAAGGCCAGGCTAGGGCTCTGACGCTGGCATTGCTACTTTCTTGCTGTGTTTCCTTGGCTGAGGATTAAACGAGTTAACATAAATAAAGCACTGAAGACAGTGTCTGGCGCATAGTAAATGCTATATTGAGCCAATGCGTCCAGACTCTCAGCCTCAGTCTTGGTTCTTCCCTCTATAACATATGACCCTCATTGGCTCTACTGGCCACTGCTTCTGTGTCCCCATCTACTTGCCAGGGACCCCGATCTCTCCCTGCTCCCAAACGGCAAACCGCCAAACCCTCCCAGTTATCAGCTGGGGTCCTCTCCTCCTAGGCCCACCAGGCTTGGGGCCCAGTGGCCTGCTGGGTGACTCTCTCCCTCCCCGCATCCCCCAACCCTGCCCTCCCTGTCATCTGCTGGACCACGTGCACAGTATGAGGGATCCAGAAGAGAAGGCTGGTTGCCAGGGCAACAGAGGATAAAGCCCTTGCTCTGCCAAGCTGCCGATTGGCTGAGACAGGTCCCACCTCCTGCCATCCTGAGAGTGGGGGAGTGTGGGGGGTAGAGGGAAAGGTCTCATGGGCAGGGAGAGGTACGAGGGTGCTGAGCCAGCCCAGGACTGCCCCCTCCTGGCCCAATCAGGGCCACTGGATCTGAGAAGCTCCATCTCCCGTGAGGGGCATTGGTCTCGCCCTATCTCTGCCTCCTGCACCCAGGGCAGCGCAGATGGCAGTGTCTCTGGGGATGATAGCAGCTGCGACTGAGTCCATGGGCCAACGCTGAGCTGCTCAGGCTGACGTGGTGTGCTCAGCACGGAGTCCCTGGAACAGGCATCTGCAGGCGTGAGGTGGGTCTGCGGCATGCGGGGG